TCAAAATGTTGTCTCCGAAGATTGATATAAAAATGTACGTCATTAGTCACCCCAACACTTCACCCCTCCTTTATTTCTCTCTTCCTTCCACCCTCTTCTCTTGACAAGATAAGGTTTTGTTTTTCTTGGGGGGTTTTTGTAAGTGTTTTACGGTGCTCGCAACTGTATAAGTTCCTATGACCACGCGGGACACATTAAACATGCTCAGTTTGGTAGGAAATTTTGAATTTTGTCCAGATGGCGGCCGAAGCCTACTCATCGATTTTGGACCACCAAGGGATCTTTAACATGCTCAAGTTGCACAGGGGACCTCTGAGTTTTTTTGCCCTAATCTGAGATGGCTAGGTGTAGATCTTTCCTACCATAAGATCAGGGGGTGTGGATGAAAGACTGTGAGAATGAGCCGAGGAGTAGTGCTGGGCTGTTAGGCTCTCGATTATTGAAAGCTAGGTACCGTAGGAATTGACTCCGAGCCCAATTACTTACTTTCTAATTATGTGATTTCTTCCGGTGGTTACCTAATTGACTCTGAACATCTTCAGGATAACCTCGATTTCGGAACACTACGAAGCATCGAATTTTAATTTTTCAAAATTGAATTCTAAATATTTAAAAAAATAAGATTTTAATGATTAAAGTAACTGGTAAGTGTTGGTTTTCGTGAAAAGGAGTTGGAACTTTTCTTCCGTAGCATTAATCGTAGGAATCGGTTCCGGAATCAATTCTTCGCCCAGCTCTACCGAGGAGTAGCAGAGAAAATGCTACAGAAAGAGTCAGGAGCCCAGATGAGGGGGCTAAGGAGGTGAGGGAGGGGGGGGGACAGAAAGTGGAGACGAAAGCAGACAACAGAACATTGTTAGAGAGCAGGAAAGGGAGTGAAAGAAGAATATTTGAGATGAGAAATTGTCCATCGCTCCGGAGCCGAACCCGGGACCTACTGAATGAAAGGCGAACACCATAACCCCTCGACCACGAGAGCCCCTCAAGATAGTTTATGCAGTTCTTGACTTCGACCACTATCGAATCAGTTACCACTTGTCTGGACGAAGAGAGGTTTTCTACTAAGTCAACGTTTGGTACACATTTACATAATATTATACTGCTTTTTCAGACCACGTCGCCCCTGTCTGGGGAAGGAGGGGCGGGGT